CTTACTTTATGGATCAATAATTGTGTTACCCTATCTAAGAAATATTTACCTAACTCAACAGGAAAAAGATTTTCTGCTATGTTTCTTTCTAAGAGCTTCATAGTTTTCTGTCTTACACTTATGTCTATCATCCACTGGGAGTTATTTTTGTAGGCAACATAGGTGTAGGTCAAGGCTCACTTTTTTGCATGTGGATAGTCCAGCACCATTTGCTAAAGACTGTCCTTTGTCCATTGGACCGCCATTGCACTTTTGTCAAAAATCTGTTGACTCTATGACTTTATATTGTATGTATATTTCACTTGTCTATATGACTTTCCTTTCACTAATATCATGCTGTGTTGACAACTGTTGCTTTACAGTATATCTTAAAAACAGGTAGTGAAATCCTCCAACTGTTCATTTTTCAAAACTCTTTTGGCTTTCTAGCTCCTTTCCATATAAATTTTAGAATCAGCTATATCTACAAAGAAGCTGTCTTAATCCTTTCAGACTGCTTTATCAGAGTATCACAGACTGGGTGACTTACAAACAACAAAAATATATTTCTCTCAGTTCTGGAGGCTGGGAAGTCCAATATCAAGAACCTGTAGATTCAGTGTCTGGTGAGAGCTGCTTCCAGTTTCATAGGTGGCTGTCTCCTTGCCGTGTCCTCACGTGGCAGAAGAGGCAAAGGAGCTCTCTGCAGTGTTTTGTAAGGGCACTAATCCCATTCATGAGGGCTCCACACTAATGACCTAATCCCTTCCCAAAGGCCCCACCTCCAAATACCATCACACTGAGGATGAGGTTTCAACATATGAATTGTGGGAGAGTTGGGAGCATAAATATTCATTCTACAGAAGAAGCTTTCTGGGACTTCGATTGGGATTGCTTTAAATCCTTAGGTCAGGGGCGCCTGGGTGGCTCAGTCATTAAGCGTCGGCCTTCAGCTCAGGTCATGATCCCAGGGTCCTGAGATCGAGCCCCGCATCAGGCTCCCTGCTCAGCCAGGAGCCTGCTTCTCCCTCTCCTACTCCCTCTGCTTGTGTTCCTGCTCTCACTATCTCTCTCTGTGTCAAATAAATAAAAATTTTTTAAAAACTTAAAAAATAAATAAATCCTTAGGTCAGGGGCGCCTGGGTGGTTCAGTTGCTTAGGTGTCTGCCTTTGGCTCAGGTCATGATCTCAGGGTCCTGGGATCGAGCCATTGGGAGCCTCTGCTCAGCAGGGAGTCTGCTTCTCCCTCTCCCTCTGTGATCTCTCTCACTTTTGCTCTCTCTCAAATAAATAAATAAAATCTTTTAAAATCAATCAATCAATCAATCAATCCTTAGGTCAGTTTAGGGAGAATTAACAATATTGAGTCTTCCAATCCATGAACACAGTATGTTTCCATATTTGTCCAGGCTTTCTTTAATTAGTGTTTGGTAATGCTTTAATTTCAATCTCACTATATAAATAAATAGGTGATTTAACTATGGTCATACTTTGTAGTGGAGCCAGCATTCTGAAGTAAGTTCCATCTGCCTCCAAGGACATACTTCTTTCCACTAAACCACACTGCCTTGAAAATAGATTGTTTTTTACCAATATTTTATTTCTTTGGTTCATGGAAATAATATATGATTTTCCCCAAGCTATTATTCCTTCAGCTGTTTTTTATCAATATCAGGTTTATGATTAAAATTAAAATAGAAAATGTTTATAGTATGCTGTTAAGTTAAAAAACGCAGGATATAAAATTTTATCTACGATATGATCCCAACTACATCAAAAATACATATACAGAAAAAAATTAAAATATATTAAAATGTTTAATGCTTCTGACATAGGCAGGCCAGGTCAAAGGATCCAGAGCAGGTCCCACAGAACCAGCCAAGAGGATACTTGGTTTCCCATAAGACAGAGTCAAATGCAAGCCAGGAGGAAGTGAGGGCAGAGTTTATTGAATAGCTAAGTGATAGAATATAGCAGACAAAGTGTCTGGGAGACTGAGAAAGGGAGAAGTGAGTTTCCCTGTCACTTGGGGTTAGGCGTTTATATTGGAAAAGGGTCCAGGGTATGTGTTCCTTCAGGAATCCAGGGTAGGGTCCAATCAAAGGCGAATGTCAGGTGAACAATAGTTGTTATTCCATAAATCACCGAAGTTAGGGGGTATTGACACCAGTGTCAACTGAGGTTTGTTCGAAGCTAATGTCCTGGAACATGCTCAGGACCTGATTCTTCTTAGAAGTTATCAGGTGTATGGGGGCCTATGACAAAACTCAGAGACTATGAGGGGTGCCTGGGTGGCTCAGTTGGTTAAGCGACTGCCTTCGGCTCAGGTCATGATCCTGGAGTCCTGGGATCGAGTCCCACGTCGGGCTCCCTGCTCA